AACTTTTTTCACCAAAATTCGAATTATTTATTTTTATACTTACAAAAATGTAAACTATATATAATATAATTATTATATGAATGAGTATAAAACATACAAAGTCACAATAATTTATATAATTATACTTAGAATGTACAATGTCAATTATACAGATTTCATATGAGCACATATGAAACATTTACGATATACATACAGGCAAGTGGATCAACCCCTATGGTGGCACACATCTCTTGGAACTGCACCCTGAATTGAGAGCTTTTACGGATTTCTTGTTTATGCTTGCTGGCAAACTCCTCCAAATGGGTCTTAAAGGTTTCCAATTGTTTTGACATCTACAGGAACAACACACACATTCTGATACTGTTGTTTTACATATAAAGCTTCCTTTCATTCAAAATCCATGTCGTGCTCATCAGGGTACACGCACCTGTGCAATCTGATCCTCGGCCAGGACATTACCTCTCTCTTTATACTTTGCCTGTGACAGTAAACATATTAGCAGGATGAACATGCAAAATGATTTTCCTAGTTAGTAAATCCCGCAGGAAGTGCTGTGATCATACCTCTGCCAGTTTCTTCTTGGCGATCGCTCCAGCTCCGACTCCTCTTCTGTGCATGATGTCTAAATCAGAATCACTTTAATACTACAAAATTAAATGGTAACGTTATTATTTTCCTGTTCTAAACTATTGACTTCTTATTCTGCTGATCGGCTACGAGCTACATAGTAGCCAAACAAATCGAGACAGAATATTAAGAAGCAGGCGAACTAAACTAGTAGATATATTACAATAAAACAAACGAATAGTGTTGTTCTCTGTCAATTATTCTCTTTATCTACAAAGTTTCTAACAGTCCGGAAAGAAGACATCAACAGAAGTGTATTGTTTCTTCTGTACACGAGTTAGGGCTCATCGACACTAATGTTTTGGTGAATGTGTTGATAGCGACACCCTTCGGACTGGAAGATTCCGTGGGATCTTCGCTCATAAAATGTACTTGTATGCAGTTTAGAACACAAAGCGGAATTATTACAAACAATCATCGTTGTCATTAATTAAAATGTCGCGCGTCATCGGAAATAATCATCAAGCCAGGGCGCTGTTCATGTAAATATCAGTCATAGAGTGATATTTACATGAACAGCTTATGGGATTTTTAAAACAACCCCCCCAAACCCACACGTCTACATAAAACTTGCACTTGTAATATAATATTTTATCAAATGTAGTAAATTCAATACTCAAAATAGGTATGTATGTATGCAGTATAGTAATAAGTGTACGATATGCAAATATACTAAGTGCTTAACATAGTTCTGGAAAAAGTTTCTAGTCATAGAAAAAGATTTTCTTCTTGCTGTGGACATAGTTTTTTTTTTTTTGTGTCGGTTTTAAAACTATTTTATGACTTTGTCTTTGTTTATCAGCTAAGGAGAAAGTTGATAAAACTACTTGTTGCTTTATGGTTTCATCGTAAATTGCCTCCTGATTGTCTGAATATTATTATTTATGTATTTATTTCCAATGTTATTTAGATATTAATTTATTGTACTAATTTTGTGTATTTGTAGTTGATGTGCATGTTCTGTGAATTGTTATTTGTTTTATTAGACTCTATCCCTTACTGCCTTTCTTAGGCCTACTAGCCTGTTATTTTTATTTTACTTTATTTTGTGCGTGATGTAGCTATCCCCTTGTGATTTTTGTAAAAACAAAATGTGCCATTCATTTTCCATAATCTTCTCATTTTATATATCAAACATAGATTCAAATCATGCACAGATGAACTCGCCACCTATTCAATAGCGTCTGGCTGCAGACAAGTGACGTCACTTGCACTCTCGGACTTGCACGCTCAGACACGAGCGCTTCCTCTGCAAGTGACGTCACTTGCACTCTCAGACACGAGCGCTTCCTCTGCAAGTGACGTCACTTGCAAGCGACGTCTGCTCTACGGAACGCGATCGGGGCCAATAGTCTTTAAACGAAACGCGTGAATTGTGACCGCGGCGATATTTTTTTTTTTACGTGTTTCTTTTGAACGCGTAGACACGCTCATTTTGGTCGTGTTAAGCCGTCATTTGTCATTTTGTTGGCAGTTTTTTTTTTTCAAATTGCTACACAAATTGCCACACTACAAGTGGAATTTGAGGCTCAATCAGTGAAACTATTCATGTACCCAATCTTTAGTCCATGTCTGCAAAAATACAAGGGCATTATATGCTTTGCTCTGTTTGTATTTGAAAATCAAACTTTTTGCAAAACTCTAAACACATTTCTCTACATTACACACATCATTCAAAACCAAGAGCTCTTGTTTCATTTGGGAAACACTGGCATTTAAATGCCACATTCATTTACGGATAACCTACAACCAAAAATCATGTGGGAAAAGACATGTACATAAATTGATCACTTAATCAAAACTCAGCTTTGAGAAAGAAATTATTTTTTTTACTATTTTTATTTATTAACTTATTTTTAATTATTTTCAAGACATTTTGGACAATTTCATGCTCACAACTTTGTGGGACCAGTTTGTAAATGAAAAACATCAAGTTGATGTATTGTTTTTTCTTTTTATTGTAAATGTCAATTTACAGTATACATACTGTGCAAAACAGACAAATACAAGGTACAAATAGACAATATATAAAAACACATTGGCACATTATTCACTTTGCTCTATAGTTCGACAGTTTACCTTTAATTTCATGACATCAACTACATGTTCAAGAAACATTTGCATGTCATTCATTACAGTAAAGATGAAGCAAAAGGGTTCCAGAGCATCGATTCTGTCCTGTGGAAACTCAGCCTTCTCCAATCTCTCAACGGCGTCTGCAACGTCTTGTTCCTATATAAAAACCATACAATTACAGCAGTAAACATTTGAAGTAGATCAAAACCTTTCATTAAAGATGTCCTAAAACCACAACAATACCCATTCTTTTTTTTTTTTTTGACAATTTCAATGAACTTTTTGCATCCACTTTAAATGTTGACTACTACTTATAAAACCCATCAATATATAACCCAAAAAGATTTGCATATGTAAGGGAAAATCTGTGGAAGTGTAGGCTACATAAGATTGTAAGCATAAATTAAATTTGCATGTGCAAGAAAAGCTTTGTTAAAGGGATACTTCACCCAAAAATTAAAGTTTTATCGTCGTTTACTCACCCTCAAGTTGTTCCAAACCTCTATTTGTTTATTTGTTCTGCTGAACACAAAGAAAGATATTTGAAAGAATGTTTTAATCAAACAGATCTTGATCCCCATTGACTTTCATAGTAGGATGGTAGTCAATGGGGATCAAGATCTGTTTAATTAAAACATTCTTCCAAATATCTTTCTTTGTGTTCAGCAGAACAAATAAACAAATAGAGGGTTGGAACAACTTGAGGGTGAGTAAACCACGATAGAACTTTAAATTTTGGGTGAACTATCCCTTTAAGGTGTAAATTGCATTTCAAGCTTAAGAAAAATAAGTTTAAAACAATTACTGTTTACACCTTTGCCATTTTTTGTGGCCCAAATATGGACAAAAGCATTGCACGTCTGTGAACACCCATTTGCAAGTGAAAACAACGGTTTAGAGAACTGTTTCAGAGCAGTACCCTCTTATGTTTATTTGAAGGAAAAATATGTAAAAATGTGCTTGTGCACCAATTACAGTCCAATGGTTTAATGCATCTACCTTGGAAAACAACTGCTTTTTTTAAATGGCCTTCCCAGTGTAGCTTTATTTTTTTCAGGGTGGTTGGCTTCAGAGAAGGGCATAAACTGCAGTGATACAAAGCGCAACATGATGTGCACTGTGGTACCAGGGGGCTTTCAGAAACTAAAATGACTGAATGGTGCATGATGCATCTGTAATGAAACCATTGATAATATTGATATTAGACTGTTGTACAGACGTGACGTCGAAACATGATCGAATATTGCATGTATTTTACACAACGTATTTTACTAAAAAATGTTTTCACCGTAAAACAGGACGGGACGGCAAACTACAGTGGTTTCAACGTGTAAATCATGTAAAGCCAGTTTATATACAACTCTATTAATAAGTTTTCTTCATGTATTTAAGACCGTGAGTGGTTGGCTTGTTAGGCCTAACGTTAATATATTTGTGTATCAGAGATTAAAAATCGTGTAAAAGGTAAAATGTATTATTTATCACAGGCCTATAAAGCAAAGGCATATATTTAGGCCTATTGCGTTTATATTTAGGTATATGTGTGTGAAAATATACACATGAAGAGTTCAGATGCAAAAGCCTCTAAATGCCATTTGAAATTTTCTTCTTTAATGATGATTTTTATCAAACTTGTATATTAAAGTTCAGTAATTTCTCTTAAATGGCAATGATAATTGCCTATTAATTGTTATTTAAGTGAAATTACTAAACTTAAATATACAAGTTTGATAAAAATCATCATTAAAGGAGAAAATTTCAAATGTCATTTAGAGGCTTTTGCATCTGAACTCTTCATATATACTTATTACTTACAGAAACGATTTTTAACGACATTGGAATTGTTCCCAATCCGCCACGAGACACACTATGCGCCGTCGATTGCACGTGAGTTCACAGGTAGCGGAGAGCAGGTGTCGATTGCAAATGACGTCACTTGCAGCGGAAGCGCTCGTGTCTGAGCGTGCAAGTCTGACGTCACTTGCAGCGGAAGCGCTCGTGTCTGAGCGTGCAAGTCTGAGAGTGCAAGTCTGCAGCCAGACCCTTCTCCACCTATTGGCGAACGTGTAAGCACATTTATGTGAAGATTACACGATTGACATTAGTGCATCCAATCGCACAACAACTAGGATATGGCATGTTTTTTACACTTAAAAACACCAACTTTTCTATATTAAAACTGGCGACGTTGGAGTTTCTGGGTTTCGAATGTAGCAGAGTTCCAATCTGACGTCATAGTACTATTCGGCCGCGGTTACAGTGCAAACAAAGTAGAGAATCAGTCCGTCGAGTTCAGAAGGAAAACACAGCGTTTAGCATTGATATCAGACCGTTGATATTCGCTTTTTCAAATCGGATTTTGGATATTTTATCAATCTATTGCAGAAGTAGGCATATCATAGCAGACATATCAGAGAATCGAATTTTGCTGGTGATATTGCTTGGATTTGCTTGGATTTTTGGATAAGTGCCTGTCAATTGTGATCCATTGCGATCCATTGAGAAAATGGCATTACTGAGCAAACTTGTTGGGTTCTTCAGCTTCTTCTTGTCAAGACAGAGCAGTGATGGCGAAGGATGTAGCAGCATTCAGGAGGAGCCCATCCAGAGACCTCCAGAAGATACAGACATCAAGGAGGAGATGGACTCTGAGGACCGTCTTGTTGAGCTGGAAATATCACCAGATTTCTCCAGTGCGGCAGAACCACTGATGGTTCCAGTGGAGGAGACTGAATCCCAAACTCCACATGGAGTGGAAATATTTCCACGTTCCTGCACCGTGGCAAAGCCATCGTTGATCCAGGTGGCTCCACTACACTCTCTACCTTGGTTCTTGGTTCAAGAGGCACATGCTGAGGAGGAAATACTGCCATTTGTATCCACTGTGGCAGAACCATTGATGGCTCAGTTCGAAGATCCTGAAAAGGAATTGCCAAGCTTCTTCACTGAAGTGGCAGAACCACCGATGGTCCAGGAAGCACCTTGGCATCTCACTCCACCTTCTGAGGAGGAAAAATCTTTCTGCACTGTGGCAGAAACACTGATGGTCCAGATGGCACGAGCTGAGCTGGAGCAAGAGCATCCACCTCAAAGGAGAAAGAAAGAGAGACAGACATACTCTTACACCATAAAACTTCCAGGTGCATCTCCACCACCAACGCCAAAACATGCTTGGATTGATGTCAGTCCTGCAGAAGATACCAAAGCTGGGGGAGATATGATAAAAGAGAAGAGAGAGTTTGAAGATGAAACTCTTGTAATGGAAATGGAGAGGTGTGTACACTGTAAACAATTATTGTTGGTTTAACTTTAAAAAAGTAGTTACCTGATTGCCTTTTTCTGTTCATTGAAATTTGAGTAAATACAATGAAGGAAATTGGTTTAATTAATAGAAACTCAAATGCTATGACTCACATTAATTATCTAAGTTGATTTGACAAAAGATTAAAAGTTGTGATAACAAATCATGAAAATATATGTGTGTTTTTTTACAGTGTAGAAATTGTGGACGTGGATCTGAGACAAGAAAGGAGAATGAAAAAGGAGCGAAAGATTGCTTCGATAGGGATGGATGGAGACAGTGCAAAAGCCACACATACAAAAACAAGACAAGATGAAAAGAGAAGGCCTGAAAGACGAGCAAAGGTAGAAGATAGAAAGACAGAGCAGGCTTCAGCTATTACTCCGGCAAAGGGGGAAAAGACACACGTACAGGAGCTTGAAAGCAGCAGCAAAATCAGCCAGAAGTCCAGCAGAAAGCAGAATGCACTTCTTCTCATTTGTGAAATGTTACAGAAAAAGGTCACTGCATTGAGAGAGAAGAAGAAGATCAGAAGAGAGGAGAAAAAAAAGGCAGTTACTGTACGAAAGATACGTCAATGATCCAGCCATGAAACACCTGCTTATCAACAAACACAAGTCGTGTGGCTGCATGTGCAACAAGAACATATGCAATGGAAAACATTTAAAGCAAATAAAACATATTTTTAATATGTAATAAATATTTCAGATTTTTTTTCCCCCTTATCCAACAACTCGACACAACTGTGTCTGTCTGTGAGCGTGTTCAAAATTGAAATGGGACCTTTTCACCTGTAACTTCATATGTGCACCACTAGATGTCGTACCTTTCTTTGTGGCTGGATAGCTTTATGCTATTTTTGAGATAGTTCCACCACTTTGAGATAGCATTATATATAGTTTTTTATTCATATTTTAAATTAGCTTAAGTCATTTAGTTGTGTTTTTGTTATTCCTATTAGTTTTTAATATTTATGTAGTCTATTTATATTTTTTCTGTTTTAATTATTTAAGTATATGCTATCAAGTTAAACTAAATGCAAATGAGAAATGTTGCAATAAAAATAGGTTATTTTTTTATATATTTTATATCAGTTAAAGTGTATTTTATAGGTAACATAATTTATGGTTTTAGTTTTAGTTAACTATAATAAACCAGATTTATGCCACTGAAGAAGTGGATTCTGGATGCTGTATCCAACGATGCTTCAATTTAAATGTAATGAGAGATTATGATCAAGATATTAATCAATATTTTTCTTTCTCAATATCAAATGAGTTGATATGGCCAGGAATGCAGTAACAGTGCTTGCTCATTTATAGCCCGACTTCTAGAAATGAATTATGGAGTTAAAGTGTCAATACATGCATCTGCTTTTCTAGGGTACCCTGACTACTGTAGGTCACAGGGGTCATATGAAGTCTATAGTTTAAGGGACCATTTCTTTGTTAAAGCTTTACTTTACTGTTAGATTAACTCCTTGAGAGAAAGAACATGTTATCTTGATGGTTTGAGATGACTCCTTTTTATAGTTAGAGCCTGGCCAAATCCAACCTTGGAAAAGCTGTGTGTCTGTGTAAGTCTTCTTGGTTACAGGTTAAGGAACAATGGCATTATTGGAGATTGACTGACTTGTCATGGCTGGGACATGCTGGCGCCCAGCAACCCAAATCTGCGACCTGGAAGGTCACAACACGCCTAACTCCAGGGTCCGAGTGTCAGAGGCATAATCGATTGAGATATGCTTCAGTCTGTCGGTTTATGTGTGGAAAATTTCTTTTTCTTAGCCAATGAGAATCATTCAACCTGAAGCAAGGACTTATCTTAGACCTTGGTGAAGGGTATAATTGCTGTGATCTTTGTAACTGTAAGCGGCCCACAAACTTCATGAGTCTTGAAGCTTAATTCTGCCTGATGAAACTGCAAATATCTTCAGAAAAACTTTTCTTTAATTTATTATAAATCTTACTCATCTTAAATTGACTGCACTTCTGACTCCAGGTCTTAATTAATCATATTTGGTCCTTAGGTCTTTAACTGTAAATCCCCTAACACCATTTTTGTTTTAAATACAAATCCTAATGAATGTATGGCAAGGGTTATACACTACGGTTATACATCAGGCCTTGATCTTCTGGGTGGTGCAAATGTGTTTTGTGTTATGAATTAAATTATGAAGAATGTTGGATTTGATAAGATTTATCTCTCAGTTGCTTTCAAAGAGAGGTGAGGACAGAATTAATTTTGACAAAAAGATTCCCAAATAACGCCTGTGTTGACATGCATACATATTAAAGGGATAGTTCACCCAAAAATGAAAATTCTGTCACCATTTTCTCAGCCTTATGTTTTCCCAAACCAGTTTCTTTCTTCAGTTGAAAAAAAAAGAGAACACTTCAAACAGCCTTTTTTCTACTGCTAAAAAAGCACAAAGGATGATTTTGAAAACAATTTAATTATAATTAGGATTTAATAACAGACTTTCATTTGATACATGACAAGAAATTGAGATAGGGGTGAATTCAGGATAATTTGGCATTGAGATGTCAGTGTTCTAATCACATATCCAACACGCCTTTGCTCTTCAAATTCAAGGGTTGGTTCTCCAGGTCGCTTCAGAGTCCTGTGTAGCTTCATTGATTCCTGTGCGTCACGAATAAAACATGATAAAATGCAATATACATGATGGTAAATCCTGATTATTTTCACTTGCAGAAGGCAACTTACTTGAAGGCATTGGCTTTACTCTGAACCCACATCACAAACTCTTTTTTCAGCAGGTCATTGAAGATGCGAGTGTCTGAATCATCTGCCATAGTTGGTCTGTAAATGAGCATCAGATGCTGCCTGTTACTTTATGCAACCTGAATATATAGCATAAACATATACATGCTGTCCACTTCCCCGAACTTACTCGCTCTTCTTCTCTCTCTGATTGAGCAAATAGTTTACAAAGTTTTTCTGAACCATCGAGTCCACAATTTTGCTCATGTCACTTGCAATGGTTGATTCAGCATAACGACGGCTAAACTTCGGCATGTCATTTGTTGAGCTATTAATGATATTTGAAAACAAAACAAACAAAGCATACAAACAAAACAATCTTCTATTTCACTTGTCTTGACACTTTACAATAAGGCCTCATTTTTAATTAATGTTATTATTAACATTAGGCCTAAAACATTTGTTAATAAAGATACAGCTGTTCATTGTTATTTCGTGTAAGCTTATGTTAAATAATATTAAAATAACTTGGTTATAATAATATATAGTAAATGTTGAAAAAAATAACATGAACTAAAATGAATAAATTCTTAAGTTAGATCATTTTAACTAACAAACAAATGGAACTTTATCATAAAGTGTTGACACATTTTTAAATGTATTATTTGAAAATGATTTGATAAATATGATCTTACCTGCTACCAAGAGGCTGGGATTCTGCACATGTCCATGAACTTCCCAGGCATATCAAAACCAATGCAAATACGGCAGCCTTCATTTTTCCTTTTTTAATACATCAAAACAGTTGAGAAAACATCACCATTCACAAGTATAGTTGAATTCAAATGACTTTAGACCTACCTTTTCTGGTTCTGGTCCCTTATGATGGCTCAACATATACAACTATACAGAAATCTCTTAGGTCTTTTATACAATGTGACTGACATTAACAGCAGAACAACAACTTATTTCCACATCATTAAAACAATTAGTAATGAGGGCGATATAGACATAACATCTGATAAGGCTGCTTTTTCTTGCAGTCTTAGGTGTCAAATCTTTTTACACTATTTGTGGTTTGTACTGGACAAATATCAAATATCATAGTGACCCCATTAAACCATTACTTTTTAAAGTTAAACATAGCCTGTTTTCAGAACCTAATTTGTTAATGTAGGAAATGTACCAAGCTAATGACTTGGGGTGTATTTTTAGGCATTTTAAGAAAAGCAAACAGATTATTTTTAAAAAGGTTCTTGTAGCCATAACAACAGTGGTGATGGATATGCAATCAATGGTAAAAAAATGGAGAAAATGATAAAGATGTATTATTAGATTTAAATAGACAAAAACAACCATTGATATTTTCTAATTCTGCTATTTCTACTAATCCTACTATTAATATTTTGAACAAGATCGTCTTACAAATATTTTTTTATAATATATTTGAATATATTATGTACAATATGTGCATACACATCCTCCTCATGTATTATAAATGCAAGCATGTCATTCTTGGCACAGATTAGTTTTAATTTGTTTGGATATATGCCTGTCCACTACACACAAATATGTATTTAGTAGTAGAATTATCGTTTTACAAACGCAATACTTAAATAATAAGAAGTTAAGTTCGTTCAAATATCTTCATTAATATAATCAATCGTTGTAATGCGTGCTTTAGTGATTGACATTTCTAAAGCTTTTATTTTGAAATAAGAACTTCCGGTGTGAAAGACGGGCTCTCAAGTGTAGTGGTTTAAAAAACAGATAAATTCATCGCAGTTGCACGTGGTAAAATTATGCATTTATTAAAATCCGCGTGTCAGCACACAAGAAAACGCCTACGTCAGCGTTAGTTAATAGTTAATCGGATATAAAGTTATTCCATGGTCATGATGGATGCAACCTCTGATCAATTTTGGCCGGCGATGCTATTTACGGTGCTTGCAGTTATAGTAGCAGCAGTTGTTTTGGGCAGAAATAAAAGCCCCTTGTCGTCAAAGTGCACCCATCAAACTGTTTTTTTGGAGGAGAGAGCTGGTCCAGAGCCTGGAGCTTCCTCTCAGTATCATCCCGAGAAACACTGTAATGAAACCAGACAACAGCTGCAATGTAGTGCAAAGAGCCTCAAAGCCAAAGATGAAACTCGGAACCATGTAAAGGTAAGGATTTATTTAGCTTTTCTAATAAAATATAAAGACAATTAAAAACACAAAGATTTCTTGGATATTTTTCAGTCACATATAAGATTAGGGTCCAATTCTCACCATTAACTAACTATTAACAACGACTTGCCTCAATAAACTCCTAATTATTGCTAGTTAATTAATGGTTAGTAAGGTAGGTTTTAGGTTTAGGTATCGGATAGAAATAGGATTAGGAATGTAGAATATGGTCATGCAGAATAATGCATTAATATGTGCTTTATAAGTACTAATAAACAGCCAATTTCCTTGTCAATTCAAAACTGATAAACATAAACTACTTGTTAATATTGAGAAATGGACCCTAAACTGAAGTGTTATCTATTTCTCCAATCAACCATTTACTGATTCTGTCTTTACCTCAGGATTCAAACTCTGATAATGAGGAAGAAGTGTGCGAGTCTGATTCTCCAGTTCACTCCACCATTGGATGGGGGGAGGATTCCTCTGAGTCAGGGATAAGGAATGCTCTGAAGGATTATGCTCGGTTGCCTGGTATTATAATAATAATAATAATAACCCTATTTACTAATGTCCTGTTAATTTGTCTTATAAGACTTTGTGGGTTACTGCTTCATCATAAGTGTTACATTAGACTGGTTTTAAACTATTTTTCAGACCTCAGATTTGTGAATATAAATGTATTCACAGAAATGATTTCACTAAAAATGTATTGCACATACGTATAACCTAATAATTATTTGAATAACAATAATTGCGTTGTATTGGAATGCATTCTCAGGTTCCATGTTTAGGTTTTTGTTTTTTTCAATGTGACTCACATGCTATTATTAAATATTGTTAATTTCTTTTTAAACTTTGATCCCTCCTTTAGTCATTTAGTGGTGTTGTACACGTTGTTGCTCAGGATACGTTATCTTTATTGCTTTAGAACATAGGGGAATTTTCTTAGTCATGGTAGGTTCATCCTTGTGAAAAAGAAGTGCTCTTAACTGCAATGAATGCATACTTCAAATCTTAAATTATATTTAAAAAAAGCTGTACTTAAAGATAATATAATACTAATAAAATGTAAGTAAAATATAGGTCCACAAATGTACTTAAAGTCGCCCTGTGGTGAAAATCATGCTTTTAATATTGTTTATATGTGTATGTTGTGTTTTTAATAGCTTTAAGACAAACCAAAGTGCAAATTGATCATTCAACACCTTTGCGGTGTATTTTTTCCTTAAAACTGGAGTGGAAAAAATACCGTCTCAAAAACGCAGTTTGAAATCGCTGGTATTTCTGAAATCCTGATGTCACTAACTACCTTGTTGTAGCCAATCACGACAACGTCTAATTTTACTTTAAAGTACATTTTAAATCATTTGATCGTATTGTACAGAAGTACACTCATTTTACCTTTAATGTGTTATTTTTGTATTACAATGCAATTAAGTGTCTGAAAACATTACTTTTTAAAAGTATGCTAAAGTATACTTTTTATGCTTTATATGTTATTTCCTCCTATTGTCACATGTTTAGAATAAATGCACATTTTGATTTTAACAAAAAACTTTACAATTTGACTAAATGCAAAAAAACAAAAAAGCTTCTCGCTAAAGAAAAGGAGCGATCACAAAAAGCAGCCACAAAAGTGAATCACGATGGAAGGGTCACAAAATAGTTATTGTGTGTAAAAAAATTATGATTATAAATGTCCTTGACTTACAGTATTGGCAAACAATGTTTAAGGCACATTTTGTCTACTATGGAAACTTTATTTTACTTTTGTTAAACACGATAAACTGACTAAACAAATCCATAGTTTGCAGGCTTCACAAACCTTACTATTTGGCTATTTTGATATTAAGTAAATTTCACTTTACTTTTACTCACAAATAATTTACTTGTGTCTTGTGGTCAATTTCTGAATATACGGCAGTGGTTTGACATCTTCCTCTCATCAATAGATGCTGAGAATAAACCCTTAAAGTACATGGCTGGCATGCTGAGGACCTGCCAGCTTGAAAAGATGATGACCAAAGAAGAACTGGAGGAGGAGCAGAGGTGATTCAGTACACCCCTAAATATAGCATAATTTGTTTCATATTACACCTTTCCCTGTCTGAATACTCAATTCTCATTGGCTGGAAAGTGTGTGTTTAAGCATGTATTGCACAGGTATTTTCAGTCAGTTTAAGCAAGGTTCTATATTAATGCAGTGACTGCACACACGCACACGTCACTCGCACTCAGAGATATTCAGAAACATGGAAACCTGTCAAGCTTAGCAGGGTTGAGTCTGGTCAGTACCTGGATGGGAGACTATCTGGGAAAACAGGTGCTGGAGGAGGTGTTAATGAGGCCAGCAGGGGGTCCTAACGCCCCAGTATAGTGATGGGGACACTATAGTGTCAAAAAACACTGTCCTTCGAATGTGACGTTGAACCGAGGTCCGGACTCCTGACCATCTTTGGTAATAAAAAAAATCACAGAATGTCCTTGGAAAAAGAGTAGGGGTTTAACCCCAGCATCCTGGCCAGATTTGCCCATCGGCCTCTGTCTATCATCATGGTGTCCAAATCATTCCCATATATACTCACCTAAAGGATTATTAGGAACACCTATTGAATTTCTCATTAATGCAATTATCTAATCAACCAATCACATGGCAGTTGCTTCAATGCATTTAGGGGTGTGGTAGAAGACCCCACCGGGTACCACTCATCTCTACTACAAATAGGAAAAAGAGGCTACAATTTGCAAGAGGTCACCAAAATTGGACAGTTGAAGACTGGAAAAATGTTGCCTGGTCTGATGAGTCTCGATTTCTGTTGAGACATTCAGATGGTAGAGTCAGAATTTGGAGTAAACAGAATGAGAACATGGATCTATCATGCCTTGTTACCACTGTGCAGGCTAGTGGTGGTGGTGTAATGGTTTTTTTGTGGAAACCATGATATTTTTTTTCAGGATTCTTTGATCAATAGAAAGTTGAAAAAGAATGGCTATTATTTTAAATAGAAACTTTTGTAGAATTAGAAATGTCTTTACTGTGACTTCCGATCTATTCAATGCGTCATTGGTGACCCCAAACTTTTGAATGGTAGTGTTTCTTCACATCCTTTTTCTCTGTTTTAATACCAGATCTGATCATATTCTGCAGATCTCAGAATTTTTATCATTTTAATTCATATTGTACATACGTGGTGTACATCATGTACATACATCATTATAATATAAATGTGTATAGTATGATCAAGGTTCACTTTGAGTGAAAGTCATAACCTTGCATTTATAGTTTGTCCTCAGAGACTCACAATATCTAATTGACATTATGTATGACTCATGCAAACAATCTTCCTTTGTTTTAACTCCACCCATAACCAACATTTTGAAATCATTTTTCTTAAATAAACTTTTTCAGCAAACAGTTCTGTCAATCAGTTTTACCTTAATATTATGATTCAACAGTTTCTTTCAAATGTTTTCCTGTTTGCATTAAGCATTGTATGTAGTTTCCATCGACCCAATATGCTCAACTAGGTAAACAACGGCATTTTCTGTTTGAACAGCATACACTTTAACACACCTGCATGATCATGATAGATAAACTCACAATTATAGATTAGAGCAGCGGTACTAAAGTTCAGAGGCCAAAAGGGACCGATTTAAATGGCATAAAATGTGAAAGGCCACAAATTACAAATTAAGACTTTATTTACCCTGCTTAAGACAGTATTTGTAGTTTTATTTGCAATTTGGACTTTATATCCCACAATTCTGACTTTATAACTCGCAATTGAGAGTATACTGTATATCTCACACTTCTGAGGAATTATTGCTATTATTGTTTAAAATGTTTTATTCTGTGATGGAAACAAGCTTCCATACTACACAGCTCATTTAACTTCATTGTGACACATAACATTGCACATATTACAACAATATAAAAAAATACAAAATAAATAGGTGTAAAATAGTTCAGTTCCTTCAAAATGTGTAGTAGTTCAGTTTGTGTGTGTAATATATAATTCAATTTGTCCAATGTAAAAAAATTAAATAAAAAGGAAAAGTGTTGATTGGAAAAGGTAGAAAAAGATTCGTCATCCAACATCCACCGCTCTGTGAGTTTTTACTAGGCAATGTAACAGGCTTCTTGCTGAACTTTTTTTAACTGGAACAAATAAGACATCATATTACTACATAAATACAAATAACTCCAATAAAAATATACAAAACCTTAGAGCAAAATGTTACTCAAGCAGCTTAAAATCACAGTCGAATGGGCATTTTGTACTCACAACTCTGTCTTTTTAAACATTGAATTACAAACAACTTCCACTATAGAGATGGCATACATTCAATTTTTGTTGATATAAACTGTTAAATTACACATATTTATAGCTTTTCCCATGTAACTGCTGACTCTTTAATGGCGTTAAACAGCATATTCAACCAAACGAATTCAACAAAATGAGACAAAACTTAACAAAAACAACTGCAATTCATCCAAAAAGCATCAATACCTTACATTTAGAGTCTTAAAATCAACTTTTAAAAAGTTAAATTCAACATTAATTTCTGATCTCTTCGCTTCTCCTGTCTGTCTTTGCTGTTACATTTTTGCCGTGTTGCTCAAAAACCGAATCCTGGACATTTTGGGCGATCTCGAAACACATTTTCGGGCAGACTCATTACAGAGACACACTAGTAGCCTAGACTTGTTGTTTAAAGGTCCTATATGTAACTTTTTTTTAAATAAAATGAATCCTTTTTTTATTGCCTGTGTTTGAAGGGGTTGTCATCACACATTGCAATGATCCACTTTTCCGGTTTTGCTAATACCTCTGAAGGCCAATATTCATATTTATATGTGAGGTCTCCGTGTCGGATTTCCTGCGAAATCCATCAGATGTGAGTGTGACGTGCATGCGCGTTCCCGAGCCTTTCTATCCTTACAGTCTATCATGCGACCGACGGCACTTCAGCTGACGACATGGAGTCTGACAACACCCCAAAACGTCCTGCCTCCAGCACAACACAGACTCCAACACAAACTCCACATAAATATAAAAAACAAAAAAAGTTTTATCTGCTCAAGCTCGTCAGGCAAAACGTGAATCTGATCGACTCTGGACGAAAACGCGGATCAACGTCGGCAACATAGTACAACAATTCTAGTGAAATAGCAAGGTGAACTACATGAAACATGACATGAATACAAAAGACTGTTCCAGAACAAAAAGTCGGTGCTTTAGGATGTAACTTATTTTATTTACTAGATCTAACGTTACTGACTAACGTCACTCATCCCACTACTATCATATTGTTTATACACATTTCCAGACACGTTCAGTACAGGAATGTTACTTCCTACGATCTTACTGTTACACTGAAACTGTTCAGTTTAGTTCACTAACCATTTTCGTTATCATATTATACATTCACCTATGTTGACATTGCTGATTGTAAAAGATACACGAATAGTTAGAGAAATGGCTTATGCTATAAAACATCACATGTCGGCTAAATGTAACATTTATCATGGTACGACTACAGAGCATTAGTTCAACGTCAAGCTGATAAATGTAGGCTATTATTGTAACTGCAGTGGGAGTTTACATTAATTTCCAGCATGTTGTGTGATGCTTTTCGCCGTTGCGTTGAAAGTCTCAGTGAGTCTGTGTGGCCGGTAGTGCTCGCTCTTGAGATCGAGCATGCACAAGCACATGGGCACGAGCGCTCTTGTTGCATTCTGAAACATCACCTCTAGAGGCTTCTAGAAAATCCATAGAGCACCGGTTAGCGTTACCGGTAGGCGTCGCCTCCTATTGGGCAGTGAAGCAAGTGCCTTCTGGGAATTGTTGTCTTTCATCCACGTAAGCCTAAAATACATGTTCTGACTAGAAAGCGAGTGAGTGTTCCTCTCCTTCAGCCTGAGACTTATTAATTTCACTCTTGGTGTGAAACGGCCTTTTGTCAAAAATAGAATTTTTGGTTTTTTTTATATTAAAAAAAAACAAAAAAGCAAAAAAAAATTACTTTACTGATAAAAAGTAACACAAAAGTAACATAACACATCTCCTTCCATGAAAAGTTACTATGCTATTTGTTAGTTTTTAGGGAGTAACGCAATATTGTAACATTACTTTTAGAAGTACAGTAACTTTCCCCAACTAGAATATATTTTATAAAGTGTGTGTGTTCTGTTACAGGGTTCAGCAGGAGCAGTTGGCTGCCATCTTCCAGCTACTCAGAGACAAACAAGACACATTCGGTGACGTGACCGAGGGCGATTTACAGGAACAGCTTAAACTCTACTCTATTTGACAGATCAACTCAAAAGTACTGAGTGACGCACAGGGATGTCTGTATATGGATTTGGTTAAGCTCCTCGTCATCTTCATAGATTCAAATACTTTTAATGCAAGTATAAATGAATACCTGTCACTAATAATCGACAAAATATGCATATTTGTTTTTTTTTTATAAATAATAAAACACTTTTTGCTTTATTGTACATTTTATTAGTTATTAATGGGTTTATTTTTAAGCACTGCCCATAGATCTGTGCTGGCCAGGATAATCATGCTATTCATATGGAAGGGGTGGGCGGACTGTAATCCAAAATAAACAAATGGTTTGATGATGTAATGAATTTCAACAGGTAGATTATAAAACACTGTTACCAAGTCTTGCACCTAGTTTTCATGTATGTGACCAGACTGATAAAATGAGTGTAATTCACTCATGAAATATGCAGAAAGCCTGGGGCTTTGTTAGTCTTTTTCTGACTTGTTGCATGCTGCTCTATCTAGTACTTTGGATCAATCTCTCTGAACACTTCTACAGGTAAGAAATAAGTGTATTGACTTAAGTAAATCTTTTGAAAATATTCTAAATTTGAGTTGTATATTGGTATCATTACTAATTTGTTCCCGTTTTTAATGTACATTTTCCTCCTCATTAGCAAAACTTTTATCATTTCTGCACTGATTTTATCACCACATGGAAATACTAGTTTGCACAAAACGGAAAAACCCTTTCACTTTGCTGAGCAAGAAGTGAACATTACACCTATTGCGGTTCTCTACGAGAACAATTTTACAAAACTGCCGGTGTGGGATTTCGAAGATGTTTATTTGCGAGACCGTCAAGCAAGAAAACCTGTGAGTGCTCCTTTTTTCAATACTATTCCTGCTTCACGGTGCAGCTGTGCTGTTGTTTTGAACCTGTGAAAAATCACTTTTTTCCGTAGACATGTCCAAAATCTCTTCAAAACACAGCGGATACCAAGTTCAAGGAGGCTGCCCTTTCTGATATTCAACTGTGGCTATACAGAGGTCAACTCAACATAACAGAATGGAATCGATTAGCACACTTCAACAATCCCTTTGGCTTCATGGAGTACAATTACAATGGTGATCATCTAAGGCAAATTACACAACATTTCTGGCTGATTTTTCAAGTTAAAGGCTATGGGTGTGTAAAACCTCTGGCACATCCTGCATATGTTTGAGAAAGGCGTGTTAAAGGTTATTATTGCTTCATCATAGGCTTGATGCATTATAAATAATGTAAACAGATCTCTCTTTATTCAAGGAAACATGTGTTCAGTATAATTAAGCTCAAATCAGTTGACAGCATAATTTTAATTACTCGTCCCATATTTTCTTTTGAAAACATTAAATCCAAAATTTGTTTGTGTTTGATATTAATGATTTATCCATGCACATTTTTTTCACATTTATGTGCCTTTAATAAGAATAGCTTCTCCCTCTTGCAACGACATCTCTTGTTGACATGTTTACTGGTGGGAGGCAACTTGATCATCTTAACATGATTAATGGGATAGGAGAAATAATGTTCATCGTTCACCTTGTCAGCCGCAATAGGGTAAAGATTGATTGATTGTCTGCATTACAGTGAGGCACTTACAATGGTAGTAAATATGGTCAAGTCACATAACTAAAATAATAGCTTCAGTTGACTTTAGTCAGGGTAGCGCCATATTTAATTTGACAGGGATAGAATAAAACGGGTTCAGTGGATTGTACTGTGTAACAATATACTGATGAAACCTCTTTATGGAAAAAAAAATTCAGTGGACAAAAACTTTGTCTAAAAAACCTTTGTTCAGTGCTTGCCTTCGTAAAGAATGTATGCTAAGTCTATATCCCTCACCTTACTTTGATTCTAAGTCTGTAACCTCAATTGTTGTATTAAAGAAAAAAAGGACGACTAAAAATATATTTTTGTTCTAATTATCATTACGCCACAAATACTGTTGATTGAGCTTAACTTGCAACCTTGAAATATTGGATGAATTTGGATGCCATCCCAGACAGCAACATAGTCCGGGCCACATCTGGTACATGTGGATTCCATGCGTCAGATATGGGCCGACACTATGTTGCTGTCGCACTTTGTATTCCTTTACTTACACGTACATTGTTGTTGTTGTTTTTTCAACTGAAGAGGTGAAAAAAGCAGTGGACTTGATACCAAAGCCCAAGTCTTCAATATTACTGCCTGTGCCTGAAGGCTCAAAAGATGGCTGTATCCGCTGTGCTGTTGTGGGCACTGGTGGTATCCTCAATAACTCAAAGATGGGCAAAGAAATAGATTCCCATGATTATGTTTTTCGGTAAGCGTGAAACTAAAATTATCTTTGTGAAAAATGTCTAAGGTAGAGTGAAAATGAAAAAGTTATTATTAAAGGTCATGGCTGTGAATTCTGATACTGTTTATTCTTAAACAGAGTAAATGGGGCTGTTACTCAAGGTTACGAGGAGGATGTTGGAAATAGAACATCAGTTTATGTGCATACAGCTTTTTCCTTATATGCCTCCATGCTGAGCTTAAAAAATAAAGGCTTTCACAGTGTTCCACAAGATGAGGTCAGTATTTTTTACACTGAATTCTAAAATAATAAATTCACTGTAATTTGCATATACTCACTTCAGTACACTATGCGGCTGTGCTCTTCATTAAGAATCATTTATATAAGTTAAGTTTTTAAGTTAACAAAAAACAAACAAAAATACAGTAAAAACGATATTATTGTGAAATATTACTACATTTTAAAATGACTTTTTTGATTAAAATGTCATTTTAGATAAAAATGTAATTAAAAGCTTAATTTTTTCCACAGCAATTACTCCAGTTCCCAGTGTCACGTGATCCTTTAGAAATCATTCTAATAGGGATATATTGTATATTATTTTATTTCAATAATAGAGTCACACAAACATGCGTATATATATATATATATATATATATATATATATATACACATACTGTGAATATATATATATATATATTAGGGCTGTCAAACGATTAATCGCATCCAAAATAAAAGTTTGTGTTTACATAATATATGTGGGTGCACTGTGTATAATTATTTTATATAAATATAAATACACACACTTCCATGTATATTTAAGAAAAAATATTATTTATATATAAAATATTTATATTTATATATAATATAAATTATATATAAATCTATATACATGAAAATATTTCAGAAATATATACAAGCAAGTGTGTGTATTTATATATATATATATATATATATATATATATATATATATATATATATATATATATAAAATAATTTTACACAGTGCACCCACATATATTATGTAAACACAAACTTTTATTTTGGATGTGATTAATCGTTATTAATCATTTGACAGCCCTAATGTATATATATATATATATATATATATATACATATATATATATTACACTCTGGTGTTATTCAATAGGGTATCAAATATGTTATGATTCCTGAGGGCCTGAGGGACTTTGAGTGGCTCCAAGGCCTTTTGCAGGGAAAAGTTGCCAACGGTACATTCAAAGGTGTGAGGTAAAGTATCCAGCTCTGCAAGTAAGCAAGATGAACTCTGTAATATTAATACAGAAGTTATGATTAATTTTCACCACAGTCAACTGGCCAATCAGAATTAAGTATTCTAGAGAGCTTATAAATAAATAATCTGAAATCTTACTGTGTTTGGCGCCTTGATAAGTAGTAAATATTTATCACTGTGCTCTTGATTTGTTTGAAAACCAACATTTGCATTTATTATTGCATAGGCCCCTGAATTATTACAATGGGAATTTTAATGAGAGTAGATTCTACGTCCTTCACCCTGATTTTCTTCGATACATTCGCAACAGGTAACATTTTATGTTTGCTGTGACCAGTTTGTTTGGTCATAGAACAACCTAAGTGTGATCTATCTTTTGAATGACCCCTATTTTTTTTAATTCTTTTTCAATAGATTCATGCCATCCAAACAAATGCAGGGCAATAACTGGGCAGTATACAGACCGACCAATGGAGCGTTTGCTTTGTTCTTGGCTATTCACACATGTGATATTGTAAGTCTTATTCTTTAATATCATGCTGTTTGTAGCTCTTTAAAAACTGAAAAATTTAATTTGTTCATATCATCATAATTGCATTGTATTAGTAATACTTTATGAACATTAATTAAAAATGTTTTATTCTCAATATCAGGTGGATGCCTATGGATTTATTACAGAAGACCACCATAAGTACTCCAACTATTATTATGATAAGTTAAAAAAAACCAGTGTCATTTTCTATATTAACCATGACTATAACCTGGAGATAAAGACCTGGAAGAAACTGCATGACTTGGGAATCATTAGACTCTTCCAAAGACACTAACACATCAAAACATAAGGTAGACTCTCTTCTGTCAACAGGTGTTATTTTAAAAGATATTTCCAAGTTATGATTCTGTGTCTTGGTGGTTGGTTTTTCATGGGCAAAGTGGACAAAGGAAAGCTATGGACTAAAGGAAACTTCTGTGAAATGCTGCAAGTGAAAACATGTTTTTGGTTTCCCTTTTTTTATATTGAAAGCTGATCTTTATATATTTAATATATATATATATTGTTTTTGTATAATTAATCGTTACTCTTTTTATGACTTTATTAGTTTTTCTTTTAAATGCAGAATAGATTAATATTTTCCTATAGACATACACAAACATCAGACCAACTTTAAAGAAGTATGCTATTTATTGATATTTAGATTTTTTTATCAAGAGAAGGATAAAAAGAGGTTACACTTTATTTATGGTGTCTGTGTTACAGTAATTATGAACACTGTAAAATAAAGACAAATGCGAGTTTATTTTTATGCTGATTTATCCAAAGTAATATTGAACAGCACACTTCTGTGAAAGACTTCTTTGATTTACTAGTTTTCTTGAGTTGTAATCTGATACAAATTCACTGGATCATCAAACCATGTGTTTATTTTAGGAAACCGGAGCTAGTCAACACACTTTCTCCAGGAAATATTTGTCAAGGATGGGTCCCCTGCCCTGGGGAAAGCCACTGTAATATGTTAACTTATGTTAACACGGTATAACATTATAGATTAGTTAATATTTGCTTTTAGGCCCCGTCCACACTCCAGCAGGACTAAAACTAATAGACGATCTCCGTCCACACCAGCATTTTTATCTGCGTATGAGAATCATAGACAGTGAAAGAAATGGACACAGTGACATCGGAAATCGATCTCCGTCCACATTACAACGACTGAAAATGCGGATCACGTAATCATTCACTAGCACTGGGCATGCGCAGAATCATAATCATTCTAATCTACATCTCATCTACATTTGATGTTTTGTATTGATTATCTTTGAATTGATTATGAAATTTGCATGATACATTTACCTGACATAATAAATTGTAAACATGTGATTTTATTCTAATCGACTCTAACATTATTTCCAGTTGAGAGTTAAAAGAAATAGTCAAACATTCGCTCACATTTAATGATGCACAGATATTATTAAAAACCTTTTCACGAGAAAATACATATGAGAAATGTATTTGCCACGTGGAAAGAGAATAACACGCAGAGACCTTCCCTGCTGATTGGATGCCTCCATTGAGCCGATCGAGCCGGGCCTTACAGGATCGTCATCATGTTGCAAAGTACACATCTGGGGGGTGTAATGTTAGGATATCATGTATAAATGAGGGAATGGAAGCGTTGCTCTCTTCTTAGTTCTTTATTAACAACAACTGCCACTTCTGGCACCATGAACTGCAATGTGTTGACCACATACCGTATATCTCCTATTAACTACGCTTGCCATAAACAGGTATACGTTGCTGTATTGATTACCGTAAATAGCCTAACAGATCCTTCTTCCCTTTTCAAATATTATTCTGTAATAACATAACATGTGAGAATGTCACAACAATAACACACCAATAAAGATAAACAAACATCTTTCAGTGTCTTCTTTCTTATGATTTTAAACATCTTATTCAACAATTGTTTAGAACTTAGATCTTCTTTTGAATCACAAAAGACTATCTAGGGATTCCGGTCACCCACATAGAAGCCGAGGATTATTCTGCCTCACATGGCAATCTATGTACTAACTATGAAATCTTTCAAGTGTCCAGGCTGTTTAACAACTCTTCTTTACGTGTAACAACCTTTTTAGGCTGTTCTGGAATTTCTTGTCCTGCGTTCTGATCTTGATCACTTGGACATTGTTCAGCTTGCGCC